AAGCGAGAATATGGAAAGAGAAGAGAGAGAGCGAAGATAGGAGAATAGTGAGAGACAAAGTCGAGGACTAGGGAAGAGAAAGAAAGAAAGAGATAGGGGGAAAGGAGGCAGTGAGAGAGAGAGAGATGTACAAAGGAAATAAGAAAAAGAAGAAGAAGAAGCAAAGAAGGAGAAGAAGAAGAAGCAGAAGCAGAGAAGAAGAAGAAAAGAAGAGAAAGAATAAAAGAAAAAGACAGGGGGTTGGGGGGAGGGGTTAGGGGGAGATATATAATTGGTGTGGTCATTGAAATAGTGTTTGTTGTGATTCGACCGATAATTCTCTTCGTAATGAAGGTTATAAGAGGCCGTAATTCCGGTGATGATGATGTCTGGCTTTGATGGCGTCGGGGGCTTGGCATCATACCGCTGGCGGGAGAGATCTGTGGGATCTGGCTTGTGGTGAGGTTGGTATCTGTATGGTGAGGGGTTGGTGGTCGGGTGTGGTGGTGATGGTGATGGGTATGGTGATGGTGATGATCTTGGTGTGATTTGGTTTGTGGTGAGCTTGGTATCTGTATGATGACGGGGTTGGTGGGTCGGGTTGTGGTGGTGATGGTGATGGGTATGGTGTGGGTGATGAGCTTGGTGTGATTTGGCTTGTGGTGAGATTGGTATCTGTCGGGAAGGAGTATGGTGACGAGGTTGGTGGGTTGGGTTGTGGTGGTGATAGGTATGGTATGAGTGACCTTGGTGTGATTTGGCTTGTGGTGAGGAGATTGGTATCTGTTGGGAGAGAGTATGGTGACGAGGTTGGTGGGTCGGGTGTGGTGGTGATGGTGGTGATAGGTAGGTGATGACCTTGGTGAGATTTGGCTTGTGGTGAAGAGCTTGGTATCTGCCGGAGTATGTTGACGAATTCGGATTAGGTGTGATGGTGAGGGTTATGGTGCTATTTTGCTTGATATCTCTTGGGTGTGGGTATAGTGACTGGGTTGTTAGAGTGGCTGATGGTAATGGTAGTGGTGGTCATGGTGTGGCTTGTGGTGAGGCTGTTATATCTATTGGGAACGAGTATGGTGAGGCTGTTGAATTGGGTATGGCGATGGTGATAGCTATATGGTATGATTTGGCTTATGGTGATGTTCATATATCTCGGATGTTGTTGGATCGGGTATGGCGGTGATAGTGATGGTGGTGATGGCCATGGTACCATTTCGGTTGTGGCAAAGCTGTTAATATCTCTCTGGTCCGAGTATAGTGACTAAGCATGGTGATTGGCATGGTCATGGTATGCTTAGACCTTTAGCTGGGTTGTTAGTACAACTTGGGAGCAAAGATAGTGACCGGATTGTTAGGATCAGTATAGTGATGGTTATGGTGTAGGATTAGTTGTTTTGTCATAAGGATTGTGGTAAGATGGTATCTCTCAGGAGTAAGTATAGTGTCACGATTGCTTGGACGAGTGTGGTGCGCGAACGTGGTGTAAGTTTGTGGTATAGTGGTCTTAGGAAAAATTATGATATAATTTATATATATATATATATATATATATATATATATATATATATATATATATATATATATATATATATTTGCTCTTCGTGTGTGAAAGGAAGTTGGATTATTAACAATCATTGTTTTCCAGTCTGCAATGGCTTGTGTAGTGTGCGTGTGTGTTTGTTTGTTTGTTTGTTTGTGTATGAACGTATATGTATATATGTGTGTATGTATGTATGCATGTACATATATACGTATGTACGTTCGTCTCTATGTATGTACATATAAATTTATGTATGTATATATGTAGGTATGTAAGTAATCATGTATATGTATGTATGTGCACACAATCACCCCCCCCCCTTCCTTCCTCCACACCCAAACCCACGTCCTTCAGGTTCCGTCCTCGAGAAGGGAATCGTCGGGTTGATTACTATAGAGCAAAAGGCCCATTCACGGCGGTCCTTCGCCATTAAGAGATTTCATGGTGTAAAGTCCCCTTGTCAGGCAGGAATTGATAGTTCATGGGGGATTGCCATTTTGGATTCGGACGTAGTTTTGTTTGTTTGTTTGTTTGTTTGGTGTTTGGTTCAGTGTGTGTCGAGGTCGTTTGTTTTGTTTTGTCGTTTGGGGTGGGTTTGTGGGTATTTTTGTTTTGTTTTTGTTTTTTTCCTTTTTTTATTTATTTTTTTACGGTAGGTGTTATGTAATATGAATAATTGTTATTGTAGTTGTTACTGTCAGTATTATTAATTTTGTAGTTATTTTTTTGTATTATTTTTATGATTGTAATCATAATTGTAATAATTATTGCTTCTGTCATTATCATTAATGTTATTATATACCATTATTTTTGTTATCATCATTATCATTTTACTGTTGATATTATTGTTATTATCATCATATCATTATTATAATCTTCAGTATCATCATCATTATTGTTTTTACTTTTATTATTAGCGCTGATCAAGATAATAATTTATACCGTCATCACTTGAACAGATGATTCTGTATATGTTCTGCC